ACAGGGAATCCTTTCCCCATTGCTTGTTTTTGTCGGGTTTATCAAAGATTGTATAGTTGTAGATATGTTGTGTTGCCTCCGGTGTCTCTGTTTTGTTCCATTGGTCTATATCTCTGTTTTGGTACCAGTACCATGCTGTTTTGATTACTGTAGCCTCGTAGTATAGTTTGAAATCCGGTAGTGTGATGCCCCCCGCTGTGTTCTTTTTGCTTAGAATTGACTTGGCTATGCGGGCTCTCTTTTGGTTCCATATGAAGTTCATGGTGGTTTTTTCCAGTTCTGTGAAGAAAGTCAATGGTAGCTTGATGGGGATAGCGTTGATTCTGTAAATTACTTTGGGCAGTATAGCCATTTTCACGATATTAATTCTTCCTAACCATGAACATGGAATGTTTCTCCATCTGTTTGTGTCCTCTCTGATTTCGTTGAGCAGTGGTTTGTAGTTCTCCTTGAAGAGGTCCCTTACGTTCCTTGTGAGTTGTATTCCAAGGTATTTTATTCTTTTTGTAGCAATTGTGAATGGCAGTTCGTTCTTGATTTGGCTTTCTTTAAGTCTGTTATTGGTGTAGACGAATGCTTGTGATTTTTGCACATTGATTTTATATCCTGAGACTTTGCTGAAGTTGCTTATCAGTTTCAGGAGTTTTTGGGCTGAGGCGATGGGGTCTTCTAGGTATACTATCATGTCGTCTGCAAATAGAGACAATTTGGCTTCCACCTTTCCTATTCGAATACCCTTTATTTCTTTTTCTTGCCTGATTGCTCTGGCTAGAACTTCCAGTACTATATTAAATAGGAGTGGTGAGAGAGGGCATCCTTGTCTAGTGCCAGATTTCAAAGGGAATGCTTCCAGTTTTTGCCCATTCAGTATGATATTGGCTGTTGGTTTGTCATAAATAGCTTTTATTACTTTGAGATACGTTCCATCGATACCGAGTTTATTGAGGGTTTTTAGCATAAAGGGCTGTTGAATTTTGTCAAATGCCTTCTCTGCATCAATTGAGATAATCATGTGGTTTTTGTTTTTGGTTCTGTTTATGTGGTGAATTACGTTGATAGACTTGCATATGTTGAACCAGCCTTGCATCCCCGGGATGAATCCTACTTGATCATGATGAATAAGTTTTTTGATTTGCTGTTGCAATCGGCTTGCCAATATTTTATTGAAGATTTTTGCATCTGTGTTCATCATGGATATTGGCCTGAAGTTTTCTTTTTTTGTTGGGTCTCTGCCGGGTTTTGGTATCAGAATGATGTTGGTCTCGTAAAATGATTTGGGAAGGCTTCCCTCTTTTTGGATTGTTTGAAATAGTTTTAGAAGGAATGGTACCAGCTCCTCCTTGTGTGTCTGGTAGAATTCGGCTGTGAATCCGTCTGGACCTGGGCTTTTTTTGTGTGGTAGGCTCTTAATTGCTGCCTCAACTTCTGACCTTGTTATTGGTCTATTCATAGTTTCAGCTTCCTCCTGGTTTAGGCTTGGGAGGACACAGGAGTCCAGGAATTTATCCATTTCTTCCAGGTTTACTAGTTTATGTGCATAGAGTTGTCTGTAATATTCTCTGATAATGGTTTGAATTTCTGTGGAGTCTGTGGTGATTTCCCCTTTATCATTTTTTATTGCATCTATTTGGTTGTTCTCTCTTTTATTTTTAATCAATCTGGCTAGTGGTCTGTCTATTTTGTTGATCTTTTCAAAAAACCAGCTCTTGGATTTATTGATTTTTTGAAGGGTTTTTCATGTCTCAGTCTCCTTCAGTTCAGCTCTGATCTTAGTTATTTCTTGTCTTCTGCTGGGTTTTGAGTTTTTTTGATCTTGCTCCTCTAGCTCTTTAAATTTTGACGATAGGGTGTCAATTTTGGATCTCTCCATTCTCCTCATATGGGCACTTATTGCTATATACTTTCCTCTAGAGACTGCTTTAAATGTGTCCCAGAGGTTCTGGCATGTTGTGTCTTCGTTCTCATTTGTTTCGAAGAACTTCTTTATTTTTGTCCTCATTTCATTGTTTACCCAGTCAACATTCAAGAGCTAGTTGTTCAGTTTCCATGAAGCCGTGCGGTTCTGGGTTGGTTTCTGTATTCTGAGTTCTAACTTGATTGCACTATGGTCTGAGAGGCTGTTTGTTATGATTTCAGTTGTTTTGCATTTGTTGAGCAGTGCTTTACTTCCAATTATGTGGTCAATTTTTGAGTAGGTGTGATGTGGTGCTGAGAAGAATGTGTATTCTGTGGATTTGGGGTGGAGAGTTCTGTAAATGTCTATCAGGTTTGCTTGCTCCAGGTCTGAGTTCAAGCCCTGAATATCCTTGTTGATTTTCTGTCTGGTTGATCTGTCTAATATTGACAGTGGAGTGTTAAAGTCTCCCACTATTATTGTGTGGGAGTCTAAATCTCTTTGTAAGTCATTAAGAACTTGCCTTATGTATCTGGGTGCTCCTGCATTGGGTCCATATATGTTCAGGATCGTTAGCTCTTCTTGTTGTATGGATCCTTTTACCATTATGTAATGGCCTTCTTTGTCTCTTTTGATCTTTGTTGCTTTAAAGTCTATTTTATCAGAGATGAGAATTGCAACCCCTGCTTTTTTTTGCTCTCCATTTTCTTGGTAAATCTTCCTCCATCCTTTTATTTTGAGCCTTTGTATATCCTTGCATGTGAGATGGGTTTCCTGGATACAGCACACTGATGGGTTTTGGATTTTTATCCAATTTGCCAGTCTGTGTCTTTTGATTGGTGCATTTAGTTCATTTACATTTAGGGTTAATATTGTTATGTGTGAATTTGATACTGCCATTTTGATGCTAAGTGGCTGTTTTGCCTGTTAGTTGTAGATTCTTCATTATGTTGATGCTCTTTAGCATTTAGTGTGATTTTGGAATGGCTGGTACTGGTTGTTCCTTTCTATGTGTAGTGCCTCTTTTAGGAGCTCTTGTAAAGCAGGCCTGGTGGTGACAAAATCTCTGAGTACTTGCTTGTTCGCAAAGGATTTTATTTTTCCTTCACTTCTGAAACTCAGTTTGGCGGGATATGAAATTCTGGGTTGAAAGTTCTTTTCTTTAAGGATGTTGAATATTGGCCCCCACTCTCTTCTGGCTTGTAGCGTTTCTGCCGAGACATCTGCTGTGAGTCTGATGGGCTTCCCTTTGTGGGTGAACCGACCTTTCTCTCTGGCTGCCTTTAGTATTTTCTCCTTTATTTCAACCTTGTTGAATCTGACAATTATGTGCCTTGGGGTTGCTCTTCTTGCGGAATATCTTTGTGGTGTTCTCTGTATTTCCTGTATTTGAGTGTTGGCCTGTCTTGCTAGGTGGGGGAAATTTTCCTGGATGATGTCCTGAAGAGTATTTTCCAGCTTGGATTCATTCTCTTCGTCCCCTTCTGGTACACCTATCAAACGTAGGTTAGGTCTTTTCACATAGTCCCACATTTCTTGGAGACTTTGTTCATTCCTTTTTGCGCTTTTTTCTCTAATCTTGGTTTCTTGTTTTATTTCATTGAGTTGGTCTTTGACTTCAGATATTCTTTCTTCTGCTTGGTCAATTCGGCTATTGAAATTTGTGCATGCTTCGCGAAGTTCTTGTATTGTGTTTTTCAGCTCCTTTAATTCATTCAGATTCCTCTCTAAGTTATCCATTCCTGTTATCATTTCCTCATATCTTTTTTCAAGTTCCTTAGTTTCTTTGCATTGATTTAATACATGTTCTTTTAGCTCACAAAAGTTTCTCATTATCCACCTTCTGAAGTCTAATTCCGTCATTTCGTCACAGTCATTCTCCATCCAGCTTTGTTCCCTTGCTGGTGAGGAGTTTTGGTCCTTTATAGGAGGCGAGGTGTTCTGGTTTCGGGTGTTTTCCTCCTTTTTTCGCTGGTTTCTTCCCATCTTTGTGGATTTATCCGCTTGTTGTCTGCGTAGTTGCTGACTTTTCGAATGGGTCTCTGAGTGGACACCCAGATTGTTGATGATGAAGTATTTCTGTTACTTGGTTTTCCTTCTACCAGCCTAGCCCCTTCGCTGTACGACTGCTGAGGTCCACTCCAGGCCCTGCTTGTCTGGGGTGCACCTCTAGCAGCTGTAGCACAGTGAGGGATGCTACCTGTTTCTTTTTCTGCTATCTTTGTCCCAGGATGAGGCCTGCCAAATGTCAGTCTTTTGGATATAGAGGGGTCAGGGAGCTGCTTGAGGAGACAGTCTGTACTTTATAGGAGCTCAATTGCTGAGCTATGAGCTCTGTTGTTCATTCAGGGCTGTTAGGCTGCTATGTTTGATTCTGCTGCAACAGAGCTCATTTAAAAAACCCTTTTTTTCTCAAATGCTCTATGTTGGGGGGTTCGGGCTTTATTTTTGGATGTTCATTGAGGTGTCCTGCCCAGCTAGGAGGCAGACTAGCCACTGTTTGCCTGCCGAGCCTCCGCCCTGCTGTTGTGAGGCTCGCCCTGTTGGGGCAGGCTCTGCTGTTCTGCTGTGGTCTCCGCCACACCCTGAGGCGGAGTCTCTCTGTTGTAGCGGGTTGCATCGGCAACGGCAGGCTGCATCAGCAGTGGGCATGTATCTCGGTAGGGACGGGTTGCCTCGGCAACAGCTGGCTGCGTCAGCAGTGGGCGTGTATCTCAGTTGGGGCAGGTTGCCTCAGTAATGGTGGACGCCCCTCCCCCACAGAGCGTCTCAGACCGACTGCACAGGGATCGTTTGAAATCGCGGTTTTGTTCGTCCCACTGGGCTAGCCCAAACGCTCTGTCCCTGCAATCCCCTGGGCTGGCCCACTGTCCAAGTCTCGTTCAGTCTCAAGTCCAGCCCTCTCAAGTCTCAGGTTGCCAGTTTAACAGGGCACCCGGACAAGCGCGCCCTGTGGGGAGTGCTGGGTAGGGCCGGCCGCCGCCACCCTGGCTGCCGGCTTTGCCAGGCAGAGGTACTGCCAGGCGTCCCGTGTCTCCTTTATACTTGGGAATTTCCCCGTTTTGTGGGCAACAAAGATGAGTCTGGAAATGCAGCTCCGACTCACCTCTCCGCGGATTCAAGGAGAGCTCCAATCCTGGGTTGTTCTCACAGCGCCATCTTGAGTCCTCCGCAATCCTAAATTTAAATGGATTAAATGCCCCAATCAAAGACACACACAGGCAAATTGAATAAAAAGTCAAAACCCATTGGTATGCTGTATCCAGATCCATCTCATAAGCAAGGACACACAAAGAATCAAAGGGTTGGTGGAAGACTTACCAATCAAATGGAGAGCAAAAAAAAAAAAACAGGAGTTGTAACTTTCGTCTCTGCCCAAATAGACTTTAATAGTAACAAAGACTAAAAGAAACAAAGAAGGACATTACATAATAGCAAAAGGATCAATGCAACAACAGGAGTCAATGATCATAAATATATATGCACCCAATATAGGAGCACCCAGATACATAAGACAAGTTCTTAATGACTTATAAAGAGACTTGGACTCCCCCACAATAATAACGGGAGACTTTGACACCACATTGTTAATACTTGATGGATCAATGAGATAGAAAATTAACAGGGATATCTATGATTTGAACTCAGACCTGGAACAAGTAAACTCAGTGAATATAGAATTCTTCACCCCAGGTCCACAGAACATACATTTTTCTCAGTATCACATTACACCTATTTTGAAAGTGACCACATAATTGGAAGTAAATCACTCTTCAGCATTTGCATGGCATTTCACAGACTTAAATGAAATATTGGTTGGCTGTTATTTTCCTTCCTTATTCCTTCCTGTCTCTGCTGTTAAGCACAATTATTGGCATAAAGGAGGTTATTGATACCTATTTTTGGATTGCATTCCAGCCTAGACAATAGAGCAAGACTCTTGTTCTCTCTCCCCCTTTCTCTTTCTTTCTAAACAAAAAAATAATAAGTGATCAACTCTGTCAAACACAACTGAGAAGACAAGGACTGTGAGATCTTAAAGCAAACCTGATTATGTCATTCTTCCTCAGAAACCCTATCAATGCTTTCCCAGTGCACTGTGACTAAGAATCCCTCCCCCAAGCACTTACACTTGCCCTCACATACACATACAGGGTAACCATAAAATCCTGCCTTCTCTCTAGCTTCAAATATATCACTACTCTTCCTGTTCTCTAATACTGGACTTCTTTGCAATTCTCAGATGGATTCCAATGGTCCACAGAATGAACTCAAACCGCAATGTGTATACAAATTTCCTGCATTTCTAACATGTTCCCAGGTGATGGGGATGCCACTAGTCTGTAGACTGTATATACTTTGAGTACCAAAGACGTAAAACGTTCTTTCCCCTCCTCCTGTCTATCTTCTATCCATAAAAAAAAAAAAGAAAGAAAGAAAATACCTGTCCTTTTAAAGGCTTACAACTCTAGAAATTACATGTGAAAGGGTCCTGGGCTTACAACTCTAGAAATTACATGTGAAAGGGTCTTGATCCATTAAGTAGGCGTGGGGTACATGACTTAGGTTGGGGTGTGATCGTGTTCACGTAAAAACAGTGCCTTCCAGAAAGATTCCTCCATACCATGCCTGTGATTAATAGGAGTGTGATTAAGGGTGGTGCCCGGATCTGGGGCCTTTATTTCTCCTATTGAAATGCAGTGTAGAAGTCCGGGGGGAAGAGCTCTCAGAAGCTTGAGGATTATCTCCTTCCTCAAGATAATCCATTTGAAGTGCCAAGTACGTAGGAGACCCTCATCTCTACTAAAAATTTAAAAAATAAATTAGCCAGGCATAGAGACACATGCCTATAGTCCCAGCTACTTGGGAGTCTGAGGTGGGAGTATCTCTTGACTGTACTACACTGCACTCCAGCCTGGGCAACATAGTGAGATCCTATCACAAAAAAGGTACAGAATACAGCATCCTATAAATGGTGGCTGCTGTTAGCCTGCAGTCCAGAGAATAACCTCTACTCCCAGCAGAAGGGCAAGCATATGTTAGGTCACCTTCTTCTTCACAAAGTTCAGGAAACCTTCCAAGCCTTGCAGAGAAAAATAAACCACCTGTGTGCTTTGGTCATAACACTTCCTAGGAATAGTGATACCAATTGCATGTTTTAAAGGGCCATTGATAGCTGTTTGAGTGATAATGACTTACAAATAAATTGAGTTCGGTCTCTACTTTTGGGATCCCTTGGTGTGGCTTGTTGGCTTCTCACTCTGTGGGTCTTTCCTGGCAGCAGAGTAACTGGCAGTAGTTCAGCATAGGTCTGTTACCTGTTCAAGTCAAGGCAAGTGTATCTGCCTTGGGAGTGTGTAGTTGTATATCCATATATTGCCAAAAGAAGGAAGAAATCAATGCATAGAAGCAAGAATGTTTATTATGAAGCAGACTCCTTAGTTAGCAGAACTGCTTGGTGCCAAACTATAAGAAAAATAAAGAAATTATGTCAAATTTAAGAAGCACATTAGGAAACATTCACACTTTAAAGTAAATGCTACTGAGATTCTTCACTCCCTTCCTACCTCCTCTTCTCTCTTCTCCTGCAGTTTTGTCTTATCCTTCTCTTTCTTACTGGAGTGCCAGAGTTCCTCAACACCAATAGGTTATAGTTATTTTAAAACTAAGGTGGCCATGGTTTCCAAGCTGCCTGGTGGACTGAAGCATTGCTACAAAGCCAAGGGACTCAGCTTTAAATGGCTTAATAAAATTAACACTTTGTGATGTCTTCTTCCCCCTGCTCCAGCTCCTTTCTGCATTGACAGAATACTTGATAATATACTCTCTGCCAAAGGCTTGATGGGCTTATTACACAGCGAACGTGGAGAGGGGAGTGAAGCTGTCAGAACTCCCCCATAGCAGCCACGCTTCAGGTTTCCTGTGCAGGATTGTATTTGACAGTTAATTTAGGAGCCAGGGTACCTAGATATAAAACTTTACTGTGATAATAGTGATAAAACCACCAGACTTTTATTTAAGGGCCTGCTGCTCTCCTGTCCCCCTCCTTCCTCTTTCCCTGTTAGTTCAAGCTCTCATTCAGTTAAGGAAATAAAATCAGATTTGCTCAGAGAAAAAAAGGTGTTTTCTTTGGTGTTTTTAGACTAAACCTGCAGAATGCAACTCTCAGTCTGTTTCATATCTATATGTAGATGCCTGTATGTATATATATATATGTATATATATATATATATATATACACACACGCACACATATATATACACATATACATATACACACACACATATATATACGTATATATATACATACATATATATATATAATTTGAGAACAGTGCCTCTCTCCTGATTGACTGCATTTAGCCGAAGGGCACAATTTATTAGGTCTCCTACTAAGAGACATTTCATTCAACCCAGTGATCCAGCTGATGTCCATCCTCTTGTTCAATGACTTTTGTTTACTTCTACACAGGTGAAATAGATTCTACCGAGTCTCCCTACTTCCTGACTCAACCTATTTATTTATTTATTTATTTTTGAGATAGAGTTTCCCTCTGTCCCCCATATCAGCTCACTGCAACCTCTGCATCCCGGTTCAAGCAATTCTCCTGCCTCTGCCTCCCAAGTAGCTGGAACTACAGGTGTGCGCCACCATGCCCAGCTAATTTTTTTATTTTAGTAGAGATGGGTTTCACTATGTTAGCCAAGATGGTCTTGATCTCTTGACCTTGTAATCCACCCACCTCAGCCTCCCAAAGTGCTGGGATTACAGGAGTGAGCCATTGTGCCTGGCCTCAACGCATTTATTTAGACATTATGATCCCCGTTTACAAATGAAGAAACAAGATTTAAGAGGTTAAGTGACTTGTTCAAGGTCACAGGGCTAATGATGCTAGTAAGTTGCCTTTCTTTGACTTCTATAATAGAAGTTATTAACTTTTACATACAGAAGATGTATTGAGCATGGTATTCCAATATAGAATTTGTTCAGACTTTTCAGGGTAAAAGTTTACCTTGAGTATGACTTGCTTTTCTTTTTTTTTTTTTGTGGTGAAAGCACACAAATATTGGGGTCAGATGACATGAGTCCATATACTTCTGTTTCATCTATAAAGGAGGACTAATCATATTATATTTTTATTAATGAAGATCCTGAAAATGAAAACTTGTGAGGAGGAGATAAGAAACAGTGGAAGAAGATTTTGGGGACTTAAAGGTATGTTAGCAATTGTAGTTAGTTAATGAGCACTGTGGTTCTTGTGTAAACAGGTTGTTAGCTCCTTAAGAGAGTAAGTAGGTTTCAGTCTACAAAGGAGAGAAAATACCCTAAGAGGCAAATTGTGAGATTGAGGAGACAACTATTCCCATAGACTGACTTTGTATAGGTACAGAGGAGCAGAACATGACCATCCTTCCTGTGCTTTCTGTACTTTGCTTCTGTATCAGTGAAGTAGACTGACTCTGGGATGTTGCACAGTCAGATCTTATCAAATTAGGAAGGCAGCCATTGCTACTTGACAGTCTGTGGCCATTTAATTCAAACTGAGGCAAGGAGCCTTGCCTCAGTATTGACATCTTTGCTCTTCAGTGCGGAGGATGTGTAAGAAAGTCCTTTATATGTTCCCTTGGGAAATTAGATATAAACTCCCAGGGGCATAGGCTCCCTCTTTTCTTTAGGAAAACTCATTGGGGGCTCTTTTTCTGTGAGAGCTCATTAGGCACCATGTGGGAGACACACAATAAAAGTTCACAGTTGCTATTATCTCTAATGAGCACAATGGTTCTGCTGATGGTCCTATGTGCCCATGAAGTACTAAGTGCTTTCCATGTATTTTGTATTAAGTTTAGAAAAATAGGATGTTATTACTACCCTCATTTTACAAAGAAACTTTCTATGGAAAAACTTTCACCTTTCTGAGCTTCAGAAGCATGGAGTTAGCAGAACCAGTCCTCAAACCCCTTTCTCTGCTACATCAAATTCTGTATCCTGTGCTGTTGTGATCCTCTGTAGAAAAGAAGACTCAGCAAACATGAGAGCTGTGTCTCAGTGCCCTTTCCTGAGTATGTGTGTTTGCATGAAGTTGTTTTGCTGTTGTGGTTTTAATAAAATACAAATAACTGACTTTACAGGGAAATTGCTTGAGGACAGAACTGGAATGGAGGTTGAGTCTTATTTTAAAAGTGCTTTCATCTTCGGCAGATAAAAGAGACTTTCTTTGTATATTCAAGTCTAACTTATTTTAAGTCAATACTTAAAAATAGTATAAATTCTGTATAGTTGTCCCTCAAACTTTCAGTGTCACTTCCCACCTCCCACTTCCTACATGAGAATTCCCGAAGCAGAAGTTGTTTTTCTAGCTTATGCATAGGTTAAGGTGTTAAGAAAGCAGGAAAATAAGATAAAATAGAAGCTCTCACCCTTATTCTTGGTTGTTACAAGTCTGGGTGTCTCTGGGGACACATTCTTCTAGTTTCACATTCCTATAGCAGGGGCCACCCAGAATTTTTTTCTGTTTGCTCTGGAAAAGTGGTGCTCAGAAATTTGTGATGACTTTCTTTATTGCCACCCTGGGGTCAGACAAAGAGAGAAGCATCTTAAGAGCAAGCATTAGTACTGAGTCAAAGTGAACCCAGCATCCCCAGTGAACTGCTTTCTGTTGCATCCAATTCAGTGCCATGTCACTGGGTTACACATCAAGTTGTCATAGCAATAAAGTCATAGCAGCTGACAGCATGAACAAGCAGCCCTGGGAGGAGAGGATGCTTGGCGGCGATGCCACAGTTATAGTGGTTAGACATCCATCTCTCACATTAAGGGGTACTTGTCAGTCAGCTGTGACTGTGTCTACTTCACAGCTGATTAACAGATTCAATTCAAGTGTTTATTAGGCCCTTTAAAGCCTCTAAGAAACATGGTCCTGAGCCTCCATTACTCTGTGAGTGAGTGAGTGAGTGAGTGTGTGTGAGAGAGAGAGAGAGAGAGAGTATGTGTATGTACACAGGACATATATATTTATGACTGTATATGGAGGAGGGAGAACCATGAAGGGAAGGTGATTCAGAAGCATAGGGTCTTATTCATGAAGCTGTTAAGGAACAATACAGAATTTGGACTTAAGTACCAACATTTTAGTCTTAGGAAGAAGTACTCTGGCCATAACTAGAGGAAGGATAGAGTAGTCAGACTGAGATACAGGTGTATTAGTCCATTCTTGCATTGCTATAAAGAATTACCTGAGACTGGGGAATTTATAAAGAAAAGAGGTTTAATTAGCTCACAATTCTGCAGGCTGTACAGGAAGCATAGTGGCTTCTGGAGAGGCCGCAGGAAACTTTCAGTCATTGTGGAAGGTAAAGGGGAAGCAGGCATGTCATACGTGACCAGATGAGGAGGAGAAAGAGAGAGGAAGAGAGTGCCACACAATTTTAAACAATCAGATCTTGTGAGAACTCCCCCACTATACTACAGTACCAAGAAGGATGGTGCTAAATCACTCATGAGAATTCCACCCTTATGATCCAGTCATGTCACAACAGTCCCCACCTCCAACACTGGGGATTACAATTGAATGTGAGATTTGGGTGGGGACACAGATCCAAACCATATCCAAAAGTATTCGTTTCTGGGAGTCAATGCTACAAGCCAAGACAAAGACTATATAAGAGAAAGCTGAGTTCCAAGCACGAGCAGAGGGAGTGAAGGGCACATATAATCGCTAAGTTTGAAGGGGCCAAAGATGGAATTTGAGGTCAAGATTAGAAAGCCAAGAATTAAGGGCCAAGTAGAGATGAGAAGGGAGAGAAAGCTGTCCAAGAACAAGTTGGAAGTAAAAGCAAGATACTAATCAGTGTTCTCACATCACTCCAGAGTTCTTTGAGACTTTGAATATTTTTCAGCAAGATGGTACAGGGGGCAGTGGCACTAGGTTAAAAGGCCTAGGTGGGGTGAGCAGGGGGTGCTAAAGTGGAGCCTTGAAGAATGGGTCTAAATTTTAGCAGAGTATTTGGAAGGGAATACAAAGAAAAGAAGGGGATTTTCATGTAAATGGGGCAACATCTCCACTGCCAGACTGGTGGAGGGACAGATGTGGATGACCTCTGACATTCAGTCAGCATGTATTGCCCACCATTTTGTACATGGCCCTTAGTTAAGGTGTCATAATTTCTCCTCAAGGTAGTAGTAAATCAAGAGACCTATTGTCTGGTGGAGAAAATAAAACTTGACTCCAGAGTTTGGAGCCTGCTAACTGCCTAAATCGTGGTGTCATTATGGGGAATAGAGGAAGCAAGTCAACATTTGAAAGGAGGTTGGAGAATAATGTTGTGGTCAAAAGGCACATTGTATTGTCAAACTATTTGGGTTCAAAATCTGCTACATACTACATGTCCGAATTTGGGCAGGTTTCTTACCCCCCTACGTTAGTTTCTTCATCTGTAAATGAGTATAATAGTACTAGCCACCTTATGGCATCGTCATGATGATTAATTGCAATAATACACATAAAGTGCTTAGAATAGTGTCTAATAGTGAGGCAGTGAATAAAGATAGCAGTGATAATGATGAGGAAGAGGAGGACTCAGTTTGAGGCTTGATGGCTTCTATAATAAAAATGTATCCAGGTAGAGATGTGCATCAGCCAAGAGCAACTGTAAGACTGGTTGCCTGTAGAGAAAATCCAGGCATAGGTGCCATCTCCATGGAGGTGGTAGTTGAATTTTCAAAGATGGAATGAAATTGTTAAGGAAGAGTGTATAGTAGTGCTTCTCAGTGGAAAGTGATTAGAAGGCAGTGTTTCAAGACTAAGGGGTGTCAGTAGTGCTAAATACTACAGACAGATCGGTAGTGAAGTTAAATAGAGTTGGTGACTCGTAGACACCATTGTAGTGGGGGAAAAAGGGTAGCAAGTGTTATGCTACTTTTTTTAAAAGCCTGGTGTGAAAGGTAGACAGCTCCCTATGATTTCATCTCCAGCCTGACCAATCAGGACGTCTGACTCCCTGGCCTCCATCTGCCAAATTATCCTTAAAAAGCCCCAGTCCTGAAATTTTAAGGGAGACTGATTTGCGTAATAATAAAGCTCTGGTTTCCTGTTCAGCCAGCTCTGTGTGAATTAAACTCGTTCTCTATTGTAATTTCCCTGTCTTGATTAATTGGCTCTATCTGGGCAGTAGGCAAAGTGAACCCACAGGGCGGTTACAAAACTGTGCCTCTGAGAACCAAGATTAGACCACTGGTAAGCAATCCAGAACTGAGGAAAGCACCAAGATAAAAGCAGAGGCCCCAAATGTCCAACCAGCTATGTGATTTTGGGCAGGTAACTGAATTTCTCAGAGCCTCATTTTTTTTTTAATTATAAAAAATAAAAAGCCAAACTCAGTTTCCTTTTATCTCTAAAGTAATAGAACTGCATAGATTTTCGACTCTTGAAGGAGTAATTCACCAATCCAGATTTGTCTCTAATCACATTTGTTGCCAAAACAAGAGTGGAGATTCAGGGCACTAGGAATCTAACTCAGTAGTTGTTAGGATGACATAGTCAAAATAAGAAGTGAAGAAGATAATAATAGAATAATCTTGTCTTTTGACAATGCTCCTTAGCTGTTTTGGATGCTGTTATTTTCATGGGCTTAAATTGAAATGGGCTTTTAAAAACTTGGATTTATTCTAGAAGAACAGAGTCATATGGGAATGAAGGGTCTAATATTAAATGGGAAGGCAGAGAATGAAAATGTTGACAAATGTGGGTATAAGATTTAGGCAGAATTATCTTTCCTGATCTATTTGATGCTCACCCCATCCCCAGATCTTCTCTAGGCTTCTCAGTGGCTACTTAGTTTTCTGTTTTAATTTTATTAGCTGGTGCAAAAAAGTAATTGCGGCTTTTGCCAGTGAAATGAACCAAATTAATATTAACATTTAAAAAATAGATTTTATTTAGAGTGGTTTTAGGTATATAGAAAAATTCACTGCTGGTATATAGAAAAATTGAATGGAAATGTAGAGGGTTTCCATGTACTCTCTCACCTCATATGCACAGCCTCCTCCACTATTATCATCCTGTACCAGTTAAGTACATTTGTTATAATTGGTGAAGCTGTACTAACATATCATTATCACCCAAAGTTTATAGTTTGCATTAGGGTTTACTGTCAGTGTTGTATGTTCTATGGGTTGATAAATATATACACCATTAAAATATCATACAGGATAGTTTCACTGCCCTAAAAATCCTCTGTGCTCTGCCTTTTTATTTTCTCCTCCTCCAAACCCCTGGCAACTGATTTTTTTTAAATATCACCATAGGTTTTTTACCTTCCTATAATGTCATGTAGTTGAAATCACACACTGATTTCCAAGCTTTTTAGATTGGCTTCTTTCACATAGTAATATACACTTAAGATTCTTTCATGTCTTTTTATGACTTGATAGCTGTTTTTCTTTCTTTTTTTGGTCAAGGGGGCGTTGATTAACATTCTGTTGCCTGGATGTACCACCGTTGATTGATTGATTTATTTTTTTTTTGAGACGGAATTTCACTCTTGTTACCCAGGCTGGAGTGCAATGGTGCGATCTGGGCTCACCGCAACCTCTGCCTCCTGGGTTCAGGCAATTCTCCCGCCTCAGCCTCCTGAATAGCTGGGATTACAGGCACACGCCACCATGCCCAGCTAATTTTTTGTATTTTTAGTAGAGACAGGGTTTCACCATGTTGACCAGGATGGTCTCGGTCTCTTGACCTCGTGATCCACCCGCCTCGGCCTCCCAAAGTGCTGGGATTACAGGCTTGATTTATTATTTTACCTACTGAAGGACATCTTGGCTGCTTCCAAGTTTTGGCACTTATGAATAAAAGTTGCTATAAACATCTTTGTGCAGGTTTTTATGTAGATGTAAGTTTTCAACTCATTTGGGTAAATACCAAGGAGCATGACTGCTGGGTTCTATGGTAAGAGTATATTTAGTTTTGAAAGAACTGCCAAACCATCTTCCAAGTGGCTTTACCATTTTTCATTCCCACCGCAATGAATGAGATTTTCTGTCGTTCTACATCTTTGCCAACACTTGGTCTTGTTAATGTTTTGATTTGGACCCTTCTCATAGGTGTGTATGGAATCTTATTGTTGTTTTAATTTTTAATTTCCTAAAGACAAGATGTTGAGTGTCTTCTCATAGGCTTATTTGCCATTCGTGTCTTTTTGGTGAGGAGTCTGTTCATTTTTTAATCAGGTTGTTCATTTTCTTATTTTGAGTTTTTATAGTTCTTACTTAGTGTATATTATATATTAGTCCATTATTAGATATGCCTTTTATAAGTATTTTTTCCCAGTCTGTGGTTTCACTTCTCATTTCACTAGATATTGTCTTTCACAAGGCAGAAGTTTTTCATTTTAATGAAGTTCAGCTTATCAATTGTTTTGTTCATGGGTATTAACATTGGTGTTACATTTAAAAAGTTATCACTAACTCAAGGTTTTCTAGCTTTTTAAAGATGTTATTTTCTAAGAGTTTTATAGTTTTGTATTTTACATTGAGGTCCATGATCCATCCTGAATAAATTTTGGTGAAA